ATAAAATTGTTAGGTAAGGAAAGTTCAAAACTGAATAAACTACTTGGCCAGAATTCTTGCTTTCACATTCTGAATCAAATCACTGTTTCTATATCGATGCTGGAGAGCTACAAATATTTGTAGTAGTTTAATTTTGATGTAATGATCGTGAAAACCAGTTTCAAAATACACAGTGAGTTTCAGGAGAATATAATACCTGCAATATATCTGAAATTGTTTATTAAAGATTTATTTTAACATATTTGCATATGTTTAATAAAGAAAATCCAAACAAGCTTCCAAATTTTATTGCAGATATCTTGTATACGAAACAAGCATTCTCCAACCAAATTCAGTGTATTTTCCTACAATAAGGTTTTGTTGGAAGGTAGCAAACAAAGACCTTCAATCTGACTGGGATTCTTTCTCTGTCAGCTTTAACTCTTCTGAATTTCATCATTTGCCTGAAAGTTCCAGAACCAAAATACTTAAGTTCCCACAGGAAAAAAGAACAAAACTGTTAATTATTCTCATAGCAGTAAAAGTGCCAGCACAAGTAGAGCTGAACTTTCACTGAACTGAAAAACGTCTTATACTGTACCAAGTAATAAAAGACCACGACAGAACAAACTATTATAAGAAAACATTGTTGGTGGTACCAGTACTGTTTTGCAGTGCAAGTAATTTATCAAAGTGAATAGTCATGTTGGCCTGAAATTAATTATAAATGTATAGTTACAAATCTAAGTGCTTAGTTAAAGTGCACAGTGACCAAAAAAAATAATATTTAACTATGAAACAGCACCACTAGTAGAATCCTTGTCATGCATTTCAGCCATATGAAAATAAGTTGCCATGTCCATGCAAATTTTTCAGGCTTCCTTTCCTTCCTAGTCAATAGAAAAGAATAGGCATGTTTGGAAATTAATTCATATAATGCTAAAAAACATGTCAGAGAAAAACAAGAGACTTGCTTTCTGACAGTCACAATATGTCTTTATGCAATGGCTTTTGTGGGAGTGTAGAAATCACCAGGGATTCAAGGCCTGCCTTTCAGGTCCATTTGACTAGATAGGGTAATCTGAATTTAAGCTGTGATTAAATGAAATTACATACTGTCAGAGAAATTCTTCAAAATTAATTGCATGTTTCATCCCTGAGCTTAACCTGCCGAGTAAAAATTCACTTCCAATCCCGTCCTTTCTTTTTCCTCCTTTGGGAGACATTTAGTTTTTTTCTACTATGTTATCTAAGAGGAGCAAGTGGCTCAGCCCTTATTTAAAAGTTCAGCATTTCACAGCCTGTATCTATCTGAGAAATGCTCTGTCCTCATAAAAGCTCTTTAAAGTTTAAAATCAAGATCCTGCCCCTGCTATTCCCAGCACAATGCATCATATATGAGGTATCATGATTATATTTTATAGTTATAGATTAGTTACAAATGATATATTACATAGTATATAACATATGCTAGCAAGAGAAGCATATTGTGAGCTTAGTTTTAAAATAATGTGTGTTCTAAGGTCTGTTAAGAAATGAAAAGTCAGGCAAAGAACAGCTAATCCAGTCTGAACATGTTGAATCCAAGACTATTCTAAACAATTAATCATGCTGTACTCTTAAAAAAACCAAAAAAATGTAAATAACATCAAATATGAAGCTTGAATTTTGCTATGAAAATCTGCATTCTCTTGAAGCAAGAGAATGTAAATGTTCTGGAAATGATTTATCTTTCTTTGCATGTGTATGAGAAAAATGACACTTTTCTCGCTTGTTGCCTCTTTAATTGCTTTATTTCCTTTTTCTTGAGTGATTTGCTCTACTAGGGAAAG